AGCCAGCCCCAGCAAATACCCTATCTCGAAAAAACCCTTCACAGAAAAGGGCTGGTGGACTGGCTCAAGATGTAGGTCCTGAGTTCAAACCCCAGTACCACCCCCCCACACACAAAGTAGTCATTCAAGTTGCTAAGAATATGTAAAAGGATATTCATTATAGTGTTCTCAATAATTACAAAATACTGGAAACATCTCAAATGTCAATAATACAGGGTTGCTAAATATACCATGGCACATTTATACCGTGGAAAATCATGCGATCATTAGTTAGAGATGTAGAGATCAGTAGAAGTGGAAAGGTGTTTATGATACAGTAAATAAAAAAGCAGTCCACATATATGTGTCAATGTGGAACACTTAGAGGATAGAGTATTATGCAATTTTCCATTTACTTTCCAAACTTCAATAGTTTGTTCAATTTAAAAAGTACAAACAAGGAGTGAGATAGACACAGAGGCAGGGACAAATCCAAACTTTTGAAGGAAGAACTGATGGGTCTTGTCACTAGTCGGGTGACAAATATGTATGTGTGGAAATACTTAAGCACAGCATACCCTTTGACCTAGCAATTCTACTTCTAGGAACTTATCTAGAAAAGAATAAAGGAGTCAGTCAGGTGAATATCCTTTCACACATTAGGGAAATTATCAAGGGAAATAGATAAGATTGTTCAGGTAACAGACCCTCTGCCTTGTCTACATCTAGGAAGCAATTTCTTGGCAGCTAGGAGTAACCACATGGTTTCCTCTAGCCAATGAAATGCTGGGATACTTTTGGAAAAGATTTCTCTTTCCAAAGGAGGACAGCATGCAAAGAGAAAACTATGTTGTGCCCTGCTTCCTGCCCCAAATGCAATTGTAAACGGATGGGATGCTTGGAGCTGCCATGGTAGCCAGATTATCTTTGTGAGAGAAAGGCCAAAGGAATCAGAAACACTAACCAGAGCCCTGTCTTCTTTCCTATGGGAGATAAAGAGACATATTCCTGGGTCACATAAGCTGTCCTTTATTGGGGCATTTGTTATTGCAGCTGAAATAGTACTTCACTAATAAAGAAAATAGGAATGTAGCATTTTTGGTAGTCTATGGCACCACATAGGGAGCCAAAGTGCAGGTGATAGAGGGGGTGAGGGTGGTGGTGAGGAAGTAGAGGCGTGAGACTGAACCACACTCCTGAGAGGTTTGTGAGTGGTGAGAATTAAGGTGACATAGAATCAGCACAGGTGCATGAAGACTTCTGTTGTCTCAGATTTGGCAGTTGAGTGGCTAAGGAGGGACATACTGAGTTTTCAATATTCAAACACATGGTGGATGCTCATCAAATGATTAACACTGTTGTGACTATTCCACGAGTTCAATCATGGAGATGTTACAATCTTTTGGCAAACTTTAAATCATCCAGAGATAGACTGATCTGTAGACTTGTCCCAGCTACCTGCCCTATGCAGGCAGCAGAGTGTGATAAAGGACACTGGCTTTGGAGTCAGACTGAATCCACTTACTTGTACATATACCCTTGAGCTGATCTCCTCTGAGTCTGTTGCTTCACCTGTAAATGGAGATAAGAATACCTACCTTAGGATGTTTGTGGGAGTAGATGGTATGTGATGTCATTCACTGGAATGACTACAGAGCTCTGTGGTGCACTCTGCAATTTATCTTTCAAACATCCTTCTTCTTGCTCCTTTCTAATAGAATCTCACTTTGGTCCAGACGTCTTCCCGCCTGCATGGGGAAACCTAGGCTCAGAGAGCTTATGTGGCATTTCTGAGGTCTCACACCTGGTGAGGATCAAAGACAGCATTTGAACTCAGATCTTCTGACTCCCAGCCTCCTATGTGATACCTCCTTAGCACATTTATCCAATGCCTAGGACTCACAAGTTCTAAACTGTAGTCTGCTTGTCCCCAAGTGAATAATGAGACAGAAGCCACAAAAGTTTTTATGCTCTAGCCTCGAAAGTCACATACCATCACTTCTGCCATATCTTATTAGTCACACAATTGTACACTGGCCAGACCAATTGATAGAATGGGGAATGGGACCACACAGCGGTGTGTGACTGACTACCACTGGAGAAGCCCTAGCAATGAGCATCAAGCCATTATTATGTAAACAATTTTGACATTATAAATCCCCTGAAAGGACCACAGACCATACTTTGAGGTCATCAATATACATAATTTATGCTGCTTATTTGGGGATGATTCTCAGATGTACCTCCCTTTTCCAGATTTGTTTGTCAGATCTCATATTAGAGACAAGCCAGAAGGGGCAGGCTGTTTTAATTTATCCAGTATTTTGAGTTTGATAATGCCAGAATGAAGGTCCTGGAAGAGTAGCACAGTTGTGCACCAGGACAGACTCAAAGTGTCATGTGATCATTTAAAACTTCTCATGCATTTTGCATCTATGGGTTTAATGTAAATTTTCTTAAATGTGGTAGTTACCCTGTTATCTTTTCTTTGACCTTCCACTCTGAGTTCTTCATGGTCAAGATAGGGAAATATAGTACAAGATATTCTGAGAGAGACCACATTCATATAACTTTTAATATTACAGTTATAATTATTCTATTATTGTTAATCTTTCATTGTGTCTAACATAAACTATATCATAGGTGTATACATATAGGAAAAAACAGTCTAGGAATTGGATCTATCCATAGTTTCAGGCATCCCCTGCTGGTCTTGGAATGTATCTCCTACAGATTAAAGGGGGGCATTTCTGTACTTTCAATTCAAACCATTTTCTCACCTAATTCCTTCCACAAATTATCTGAATCAAGTGATGATTTCTTTTCTTTCTTTCTTTCTTTCTTTTTTTTTTGGCAGCACTGAGGTTTGAACTCCGGACTTCACACTTGCTCTTACTGCTTGAGCCACTCCACCAGCCTTCAAGGCATGAATTTCTTTCATTTGTCCTTAAAGGCATTGGCTGAGTGGTCCCAAAATGGGCTTGACTTCACTTGTACATGCTAAGACTTGGCAGATACACACATGCACAAATCACTCCAATATTTTTGTTCTTTTTTAGAAGAGTCCTGATATTTTTAGCATGTGATACACTTGTGCTATGCCCTTGTAGTCACATTGGCTCTGTCCAGTGGATATACATCATCCTCTACTATGTTCTTCTCAAGACCTTGACCATCAGAGTTTCAGCACAACATGCTTTCAGTCACACTGAAGTTTAGTTTGGGCCAGGACAATGGTGTTTTGTTTTCCAGTTTGCTACAACAGCTCTCCAAGTTCAGGGGCCACTGAGTTTTCTGTTTGCTTCCTTCTTACAGCCACGCACTGTCTCTCCTGGCCTTTCATCTCAACATTCCATGAGGTTCTGGTGAGGCTGTCAATCGTGGTCCATCTCATCTAGCCAAAGTGACTGTAGTCCAGGGAAGTATAAAATCCAGGTGGGGCTTACCAGGGTCTAGAGTCAGAGAACTAGGTCTGGAATTGCCTGCAACCATATTTGTCACTACTACACTTAGTAGGTGGAAATGCAGCCAAACAAGGCCAACAGAGCCAGGAAAAAGAAAACAAAATGTTTTGAGTTTCTGGATTTGCTCCTGCCTGAGGCTATTTCCAACTCCCTTTGGTATGTCTCCACAAATGCCAGTAGTGTTGGGTTTCTACCACTTAATCATTGAAAGAGCCTTCAAATGACTGACTCTTTGGGCCATAATTACATGGTGAGGAATCCACTCCCTGAAGGGGCATGTGCTGAGAGAAAATAACAAAATTCTGAGAAAGATCTAGCAACTGGATGAGAAGGAAGCTGGCCAGAGCCAAGGAACAGCATTTTTATGGAAGCTGACAATGGAGTAGTTTTAATTGGGAGGATGGAAACACACTCCCATGGACTTGACGGGAGTATAAAAATTGGTAGTTTTAGGAAAGCACTTTGACAGTCTTAAGCTGTGAAATATTCACGCTCTATGAGTCAACAATCTACTCAAAGCAGCATTGTTTGCTGTGGCAAAGAGCTGACAATAACCTCATATATTTGCATCATCAATAGGAAACTATGTCCAAGTTCTCTTAAGGAGAAAATGTATCTAAGACTATGTAAAGCATTTGTTTAGAGGCATACGTTTAGTACGTGCAGAGGCAAGCTGGGAGGACCATATGTAAGATCAGCAGTGACCTCTGTGGGAGAGGAGTTGACAAGAACTTTCACTTTTTATATCTATATGTATTGTTAAGTCCAGCTTAATTTTATTTGAGATTAATTTCTGTTCTGCTTTTGCTGCCACAAAAAATGGCGTTTCTTTCTTTCATTATTAGTTCTTAGCTGGCTGTGATGGTGTGTACCTGTAATCCTAGCACTTGAAGCTAAGGGCAGAGTGGAGAATTTGAGGCTAATCTGGTCTATATAGACAGACTGTCTCAAAAAACAAAAAAAGTATTCTGTGTTCTAGGTTCTTTGGCCTCAGGGGTTCATTCACACATTCACTTGTTGATTTAATCAACAAAGGGATTAGTGCCAGCGAACATTCTTTTTGGTGCAAAACAGAATCACTGTCCTCATAGATCTTACACGATTGTTTGTGAAGACAAATAACAGATAGTGTAAGTTAAGGAGAAAACAGAAAGGAAGAGAAGGTAGAATGCTGGAGGCTTCTCATTGAGAGGGCAACATAAAGACCTTAAGGAAGGAAGGAAGCCATGAAGCTCTTGGGGTAAGGGTCTTCCAGACACAGGGAACAGTAGGCTAAAGTGTGCTTGATGAGTTTAAGAGTAGGGAGAATGAGATTGGAGAAATTAGCAGATGAAGTCAGAGGTAATAGAGGGGTAGGAGGGGTACCTATGTACTTGAGTCCCCTTTGAGAGAAGTCTGTAGAGGGTTTTGGAACTTCAGTTTTTGGCGATACTGGGGTTTGAATTCAGGGTCATTGGTCAACTTTAATGATCACTCTGGGCTGGAGGCCTGATTAAGATAGTAAGGCACCTGCCAAGTAAAATGAAACCCTGAAATCAAACCCTAGTACCACAAAAAAAAAAAAAAATTACTCTCGTTGCTCTGTCAATACTAGAAGCTAAATGTTGATGGCAATAATCCAGGAGAGAATAGCTTGGACTATGATGGTACCAGTGGCTGGGATCTAAAAGTAGTCTCAAGGTAGGCTGAGAGATTTCTTGGACAGGATGGAGACACCAGAGGAAGGTTAGTAGTGCTATGATGCCAGGCCCAGCATGAAGACTGGCAGACCCTGGAAGACAGCCCCATTCCCAGGTCCCTCCTGAGGCCTGTGTCCACTGAGCTGCCCAGAGACACTGTTGCGAAGTGGTGCTTAGAGTTAGAGAAGGTGGAGGACAGAGCAATGGAGAGAGAGGATGAAGATTTGGGATTTTTCCTTTAGGGGATAGCCCACATCTCCCATCAGAACAAGATAGGATTGTGATAGCAATGGGATGGCAGGAGAGACTGGATGCTGAGTGCCTTGACACACCTGGTTTGGGAGAAAACAAAGCAACCCACCATCACAAGAGAAGACTCAAAGCCAGATTTAACTTGATTTAGTGTATTTATAATGTTTCGTTTTTGCTTTTAAAGACAAATGTGCATTATTTTTGTTAACATATTTTAGAAATAAAGGTCAAATGTTTAATAGTAACTGAGAGGGAGACACAGAATTAAGTTGCTGAGAAAAATATAAGGTAAGAAATGGTATTTTCAAGAATTGGAGGAAGTCAAGTGGTAAGTGACTAAAAGCCTCATTTGGAAAGCTTGGCAACGGCAGGAAAAAAAATAATAAATGGCAAGAACAAACATATGCCACACAATTCTGAATAAAGTTTATTAAACAGTATGTACACCAAAGGTAGTAATTCAACACACCAATTTGTCAAATCAATCCACTGCAATAAAGAAAAATAAATGAACAGAAATCTGTGTATGCACAGTACATGCGCTCAGTGTATAATTTAAATGACAATATTTTAAATTAATTGGTTATGTATAATGTCAGTTTTTTTTCAGAATATAATCTTTTTTTGTAGTAAGCTATTCCAGCAACAGGAGTGAATATTACTGCAGATAAATAGAACTGCAAAAAAAATTAAAAAATAAAAAAAACTGTAGCTGAGATTATAGTTACTTTCTCTTCTCAAAAGAATAATTCTTGTGTTAACAGTGTCCCATGGCTATTTTTGTGCTAAAAGTCTGCAGGTGAATTATCTGAAATGCCTTCATTTAAATAAAAAAACTTCATGACTCCCTTATTTTATCCCCCTTCCATTCAAATTTTTAAAATTATTTTTCTATACAAGGTAGATACATGGGCTATACAAAGTTAAATATACATATTTACAGTCCCACTTCTCAAGCACATTTTTTTTTTAACTGATCCCAGAGAGACTGCAAAAGGTAAGTAGTTTGGGCCTTGCCTTTACCTGGAAGCATGATTAATATATCAAAATGTGTTGCAAGGCATGCCGCCAGTTAGTTGCACTTGCTATTAATAAACCTGTATAAACATTTCAGCATAAAAATAGGTACTTTATATTACTAAATGTCTGAAGACAAAAGAGTAATCAGAAACCTTTGTTTCTTGTTTTGTCACACATAGGAAGCTGAAGGGATGCAATTTTTAACATATAGTTTTATTAAAATGGGCAAGTTGGTGAGGCAAACCTTGATTATAGACAAATGCTGTGTGAGGCTGGCATCATATGCAAATGTGGCTTTACAAATTGGTTTTACTTTCTAGCTGTATTTAAAGAGGTGTTCAAAATTACCTACTTAATCAAGAAGCACCCCTCAAAAAAAACATAGATAAGATTGCATTATTAATGGTTTGCATTGAAGAAAGACCAGGAAACACATTAAGCCAATACAAGGATCACATTCCAAACCCGGCAAAATGCTGCCATGCAAATGCGCATGGTTATGCATTTTTACTGTAATCCCTCAGAGAGAGAGAGAAAGTAAAAACAATGCTGTTGGATGGTGGAGCAGAGCTTCCAAAGCATAGGTCATATTGTCACTGGGTTCTAGAGAAAATCAAGAAGTTTCTTTCTACCCAGAAAACCCCTCTCCCAAAGTTCCACATCTTGTTCTCTTGGAATTAAGGCTCTGATCTGTTCTAGTTAAAAACAAATGTCTGCAGGAAGAGGCAACACATTTCTCTTATCAGTCATTTACACTTTAGTGTGAATGAATAAGTGGCAGTTCTTTCCTGAGAGCCCCCCTTGAAAGACAGTTAGGGAGAAAGTGAGGGCAATGTGGCTGACTGGTGGATGGTGGGAAGCTGGTGGGATCCCAAGATGGGCATTTCGGGCAGCAGCTGAGCCAGAGGCAGTGAAGACAAATTTTGCTGACTTGTAAAGACTCCAGACTTTGGGACAATGGTCCTGGGGTAATTCTGAGCTACATGCAGACAGCCAGGGTTCCAGTTCTACTTGTATAGAATTGCTAATCCTGTTTGTGGCCTTGGACAGGTATTGGTGGGAAGATGACAGTTTGGAGACTCTGGAAAAAGTTCCAAGTTTTTCCAGCCATTAACAACCCTCAGACAAAAGTTCTCTCAGCATCCTCATTGTTCAGAAGTGAGCTAATGGGGACAGAAAATATGACAATGCTTTCTAAGGTCCTTCCAGGGAAACTCATCTCTTCCTCTCACACCCTTCTTAGCACATATCACAGTCTCTCTCTATTCAGTTCTTTATTCTCTTTCTCCCACTCACCTTGAGTTCCTGGTGGGCAGGGAATGAATGGGGCACTTTTATGTTTGTGTCATTGAGGGATCTAACAAAGAAGCTGATAAACATTCTTATCACCACTTGGACAGAGTAGTAACTAAGCATCCAGGTGTCATGGGGGTTTTCTCCTCAGATCCAGCACCCACAAAGGACAGACTCCTGGTTATTCCTGGTACAGGCATAATTGCTGCTTCACACTTAGGCTGCTAAACTGCACCCCAGCTCTGAAGGGAAGTCTTACCAGGTACATTAGGACTCACAACCCTGGGGGACCATGTGCTGAGTGGACCATGAACTCCTCTGCATGGAGTCCCTTCTAGGTCCAGAGCATGCATTACTCATAGATATCCCTGCAGCCAGCATGCATCGATGCATGTTAAATGAACCACTAGACACCATTGTGAATTTCCTATGAGAACAAACCTATGGATCCCAAATGGTCCCAGCCAAACACAAGCCAGAAAAGAAAGGCTAGCAATAGTGCTTTGATAAATGCAGCTGCCCTGCCTTGGAGGCAGCATTTTATAAAGCCACTGACATAGGAAAGGAACACACTGCACACTTCAAGTCACCCCCCAGAGCTGTGGGGCTTCCTCACTTAGTCACTTGGCAATGCAAACATAACCTATCTGCCTGGCCATCTGCTCTCTAGGCTCAGGACAAACGTCATGTGCTTTTCTGTCTGAACATCAGCACAGTGAAGGGCAGTGCCACACAGCAGGCTGAATGCCAGAGTGCCTGGTTTGCCTCCATATCTCCACCTGGACCTCAGCAGGTCCCACCAGAGGGACAGCCTCAGCAGCCCAGACTGACCCCTAGCAACACTGAGGGGGTGGTCAATGGGTGCAGGGCAGCCAGGGATGGAGACAGGTGGTCAGTAGATGCTCAGGCATGGCTGGGGATCTACCTGCCTGGTCCTCAAGGGTTGGTTGCTTTAGGCTCAAGAACCTCTTTGAGATGACAGCGGGTTAATGCTGGGAAGCAGGAAGCATTTCTGGCTAAATATGATCTTGGACTGTACTCCAGGTCAGATTACCCATGAGGTGGAGGGGAAGAGAAGCCTGGAGTGGCCCCCAGAAGCAGCTAAGTAAATACAGGTTTGTCTCAATTTTTTGTGCTCAGAACATGATTCAGCCCTGATACACAGTAAACTCATGGCTTGAGTTTTAAATATACTTCTCTGTTCCTCTCTTTCACTTCTTACTGTATCCACTCCATTAGTTTTCCTACTGACTCAACATTTAAATAAAGAGATCGGTTCATGAATTATGCTTCATTCTCCAATAAAAATAATCTGTGGTTTTCAGTCTTCTTATAGATATAAAGGTTTTACATAATTGCCTGGAAAAGTACCAAACTGCCTTGTCCTTCTTGAAGTACCTATAAAAAAAAAAACACATACGCAAAATGAGAAGACCCACCCACTGAGCTCAGAGAGAGCACTGCAGAGATTTCTGCTCAAATGTCCCTTAATAACTATCCTTGTAGAATAATAAATGGTTTCCAAAGCACTTTCTTACCCTGTCTTACCTCATTCAGGCTGAAAACTAATTGGGGCTAAGCAAAGTAGGCAACAAGGCTCAGAAATTCCCCAGTTTAACAAGTGTCAGAGGTAGAATCCAGGCAAGTCTTTTGACTCCCAGCCTGGTGCTCTTCCCAATATTTCTTTTTTGGAGGAATTAACACATGTATCCAACACAAGATACCTGCAATTTAGAATTCCTAAACAGGATTTCTAACAGCCTATTGACTGGGACTACATATCCAGAGGAAGTGCCTCTCAAAAGCTTGGGTCTCAGCCTAATGCCTGATTCCCTGTCCTTGCTACCAACCTTATTAGGGTCTCACTGATCTACCTGGGAACAAAGCCCTTCCTGAGTGCTCCTCATCTAGAGCTCTTGGTCCCTAACACAATGCCTTCCTCGGGAGTCTCTCTACAGCAGGTATGGCTGAGATATGTCATGCCATCATCACCCTCTCATGAAAGACATCACAAATTTTCCCAGGTGTTGTCTTGGATTTGGTTTCAGAATCCTATTGAACACAGCACCTCAAGCAATGGGTTATAATAACTGGTAAAGTGAATCTTCTAAGCTAAAAGAATGTGTCAAAGCTAAGGACAGGTGAGACATCTAGTTGAACCTCTCCTCAGGAGGATGATCAAAAAGGTTGCAAAGAGCTGGGATAGAAAGCCCAGAGACAGTAAGAGCTCGCCTGTGCTCCTGTACACAGTTAGCAACTTTCCTTATGGACGAGAAAAATGACTTCTGCTAGGTTACTGTACTTGTACTTTGAATACTAGGCTACTTTTTGAAGTGTCTGACATATAAGGCAAATACTCATCCCAAAATATTTCCTTCACTTACTGACCTCTCTTACCCATTGCAAATGAAAATACTCCTGGAAGAGATGTTTAGCTAATGCATATTAGAGCTGCACTTTCTCTTCCTCCCATTTTTTTTTCTTTGAGACACAATACTCCTATGTAGCCTAGGCTAACCTCAAACTTATGATTCTCTTGTTTCAGCCTCTCAAGTGCTAGGTAGAGCTAGCTGCATTCTCTAATATGATAGCCACATGTGATGACTAAACAACTGAAATATGTCTAAGCTGAAATGAGCTGAGCTGAGCTGAAACTGGAAAATGTACACCAGATTCCAAAGACTAAGTACAAAAAGTAAAAAATAACAATTTTCATCTTATTTTTGGTGGTACTGGGGTTTGAACTCAGGACCTCACGCTTGCTAGGCAGGCACTCTTACCACTTGAGCCACTCTGCCAGCCCCCTAAAAAAACAATTTTTTATTGATTATATGTTCAAATGACAATATATTGAATGCACCAAGTTTATAAAATACATTAGAATTAATTTTATTGGTTTCTTTTCATTTATTTATTTATTTGTGGGACTGGGTTTGAATTCAGGGCTTTGCTTTTGCAAGACACTCTTCTGCTTGAGCCACACCTACCTTCCATTTTGTTCTGGTTATTTTGGAGATGGGGGTTTCATAAACTATTTGCTTAGTCTGGCTTTGAACCATGATCCTCCCAATCTCAGCCTCCCAAGCAGCTAGGATTACAAGTATGAGCTACCAGCACACCTTTTTTGCTTTTTCAATGCAGCCTTTAGAAAAATTTAAATTTCACATGTGCCTTGCCTAGTGTTTCTATCTGTCTGAGTGCACTCAATGGCTGCAATTTCTTCTGAACAGAATGCCTCAGGGTAGTAAGGGCCTAAGGCCTATTGTTCTGGGAAGACAGATCACTTTCTAGGAGACTGGAAAGGCAGAGGCAAATCTTTCCGCCTTCCTGAGAAGGCAGAACCTTGTTGTTCTCACCATGACAGACAGCCCCAATATTTTTAGCAAAACTTTTCCAGAGATGAGGGAAAAGCTGGTCTTTTGAAAAAAGGGGGAAACTGATGCAAAGAGTGAGTCAGTGGCTCTCAATGTTATATTCATGCCTCAGCAGAAAGGAAATAGGATTTGGGAGAGTTTGGGTAGCCTGAGTTCAAATACTGACCCTGTCATTTGCTATTTAGGTGAACTTGGGGTAGTTATTTAGCCTTTTTGGCCCTCATTTTTTGAATCTGTTACATGAGGATAATTCTTGTCTTATAGAACTGCTTGTGAGAAAGTGTGAAGAAAAGAATTATCATCAAGCACAGTGATAGGGTTGTAACAAAACTTTCAATAAATGTTGATCTTTCCCCTTCCTAAAAAGGCAGATCCTTTCCCTTCTACCTCTCCACCAACAACTTGAGGTCAATTCAGGCAAGCAAATTTAGTGAGACCCTATCTCAGAAACAAAATATGTTCAAGCCCCAGTACCACAAACAAACAAAAAACAAAACAAAATATGAATACAAGGGCTGGGGGCATAGTCAAGTAGTAGAGCACTTACCTAGCACATGTGAGGCCTTGGGTTCAATCCTAAGTAGCTCACCTCTTTCCCATCCTCCAAAAAGTTCTACCACTGAGCTACATCCCTAGCTCTCCTTTGTTTAAATTATGTTAAGCAGGTTGTTTTGATTAAAGTTATTAGAAGCCTAGAGTAAAATAGAAACTCTTTGGAACAGCAACATATACGCTTGAATTTCATGATAGAGACCTAGTCATAGTCAAATTTTTCTTATGTTGTCTCATAAGAGCTTTAAAAATAAATTTTCTAAATATTAATAGGCATATACACAATAGAAATGTAAATGGAAATCAGTTAACAACAATGAACTTGATAACTGCCTTTCCACACAGCAGATGTTGGCATAGCTAGTTTTCAAGCCCAATATTAGTAACATCCACACCATCTTAATAGCAAACATAGACTGGGTGGTCCAGCATTCCTGGTGGTGGTACAGGGACTGAGAAGACTTTTTTGGAAGTACTGGAATTTGAACTCAGGACCTTGTGCTTGCTAGGCAAACACCTTACTACTTTAGCCATGCCTCTAATCCTGAGAAGATTGTCTTTTTTGTTGTTAAAGTAGCCAGAGATGATTCTATTGTTATACAGGGAAAGCAAAATTTCCATTATGTTGCCTGATACAGTCTTTAGTTTTATGTATGGGGCTTCACAGTTTGCAAAGGACTGCTCATATTCATAGCACCCCAGAAGATTGCTTTTTACATGGCTCATCACTCCTAATTCTTCCTTCATACACAACTAAGAAGAAAAGCACGAGGCGGTTCTTACCAACAAACCATCCATCATCACATTTTTCCATGACATCAACAATATCTCCATCACGTAGTTCCAACTCATCATCATTCTGTGGTATATAGCTATATAGTGCTTGGTAGCTAAATCTATAAATAAGAAAAATGACGGGGTTAAGTCATGAGTTTTAAATCACATTTCTCTTAAGTCAACATTTAAGTAAATGCTATTATTTGTAAGGAAAAAGTATTTTATTGACTAATTCTCTAACAATTTAGCATTTGGAAAAATGCATTCAACATATAAATTTATTAAGACTGACAGGGATGGGGTATTCCTGACAAGCAAGTAATGATCATCAGTCCTCTTTATTTGGTTATCATACCCAAGATACATATATATTTTTTTGTCTAGACCCCTCCTCCCCTCTACTCTGACTTTAAAGGAAGCTTTTTTCTTAAAACAGGATCATTGCCAGGTGATTACAGTCACACACTTGCAGTCCCAACTACTTGGTAGGCAGAAATAGGGAGGACCAAGGTTTGAGGCCAGCCCAGGGAAAAACTTAGTGAGATCCCCACCTCAATACACAAGCTCCTGTTATCCAAGCTATGCAGGAGGTGTAGGTAGGAGGATCACAGTCCAAGACTGGCCCCTAAAGCAAAAAGGGCGGGGGAGTGGCTCAAGTAGTAGAGCATCTGCCTAGCAAGCACAAGGCCCTAAGTTCAAACCCCAGTAGCAATCCCCTCAATAAAGGATAATGTTTATTAATTGTCAAGAATACACAGAAGTCATTCAATCCCATAGATGTTACATTCTGATCATATACATGGGAGCACATAAGCGAATTATAAAAACAGGTAGGCAGATGATAGAACAGATAGGCACATTCCCACTTCCTCACTACTTAGTCAAATTATCTTGAGTACTTTTAAATGTGGATGTCATTTATCCGAAATCTTTGAAAGCTTTCTGCTTTTGGTCTATCCCAGTGATGTTTGGGGGTAAGTTTTATTTATTTATTTATTTAATTTGCTTCTGGGTCTAAGGCAGTTGGTCAATGCCATTCTCTGTTCCAGCAACAGAAGATTTCATGATGAAATCTGATACCTGCTTTGACATAAGGAAAAGCTTTGTTCTTATTTATTCCTTCAATAAATACTTAGGGGCACCTACTATCACCAGCTTCACAATTCCATTCACTCATTATTTTGAATCACAACAGTATCAGAAAGATACTGTTCCAGTTCCAGGCTACCAGTTCCAGTCCTGTCAGTGAATTCCAGCATGTGGGCAAGAGAGACTAGAAAAAGTACTCAGAGTCAGTTTGCAGAAATAAGAGTTTCATGCTGTTCTGCTAAAACAAAAGGGACAATTTCACTTTATATATAACTCTAAGTATATTGATACTTTCATATTTGAATTCCACTACCAGAAGGAAAGTCTTTAATGAGAAATTAAGAGAGGCAGACAAATTTCCACTTGGTAAATGAGTACATTTTTTCATGCTTCTGTATTTGTCTGCCAGCCCCTATCTGGCTGTCCAATGTATGTCCTTGCTAACATCTTAGCATGTCTTGTCACCTTAATTTCGACTATGGCTGCTTTGTTTATCTGTTTTTAGACAGTGGAGATTGGCTGGAGGAAATCTACACCCTTAAGAACTGGGGCCTCCACTCAGTTCTAACTTTGGATGGGCCTCAGACAGCTTAGGAGACTGTCCCACTGAGTCCTTCCCCCACCTTCCCTGCCAATTCTGTTGCCTCACTCTCAACAGAGAGTGCCTTACTTTGCTTCTCCTTCTGAAGATCAAAGCTTGCTGTGGCAACAACTTAATCTTCCTGTTCTCCAGATAAGTATCTGTGTCTCCACTCACTCCCTGCCCTGTTCCCATGTGTAAGGCTCTTTTCTCCTGACCACATTGAACTCCTTCCCTGGGTTCTTCCTTCACTTATATCTGCTCACTTGCATCTTTTGTCAACTCCTCTCCTCAGATACACCATCAAACTTACTCTTCAACCTTTTTTTGGTGGCATTGGGGTTTGAACTCAGGACCTCATGCTTGCTAGCAGGCACTTTTACCACTTGAGCCACTCTGCCAGTCCTCTTTCAAGATAGGGTCTGGAGAACTATTTGCATGTGGCTAGCTTTGAACTGTGATCCTTCTGGTCTTTGCCTCCTGAGTAGCTAGGATTACAGGCATGAGCCACTGGCAACTGGCTCTTCAACCCTTTTTAATGGAACATCTGCCACCTCTGTAAACTCTGAGGTCACCAGTGATTTTTCCAGTTGGCCCTTTCTTATTTCCTATTCCTGGCCTCTCTGAAGCAGGTGACACTGAAGCCCAGATGTTGCCTACTGTGATCTGTGAAAATGAGTATTCCTAGACCTTTGCCACCATCTCCTGCTTCCCCTTCTCAGTTTCTGTGGCTGAATACCCTTTTTACTCTGTATCTCTGTGGGTCAACTTATATATTCCCATGCTTACAAAAAGTCTATGCGTCCTACCTTAGACCCTTATAACTTCTTTATTGCATTAGTATCTATCTCCAACTCAACATTTTTGTCCCTGGTCTCTGAAACCCGCCCTCCACTCTGCTTGCTTCCACAGTTATCCTCCTAAAACGATATATGATCAGTATGTTCCCCACCTCAAAAATCTTCAATGACTCCCTAATGCCTACAGAATAAAATCCAAACTTATTTTAACTACATTCTGGAATCTACCACTTGACCTTCATCTCTAATTGTCTCCTCCATGAACCATATTCTGTGGTCACTCAGGCTTTTTTCAAGTTCTCCAAATACCACCTACTCCACACCTTTGCATATGTGGTCCCTTAGCTGAGGAGACCTTTTATTTCCCATTCTAGCTCTCAAAATCCAATTTTCTCTCAATTCTTGGTTCAAATCACCCTCCCTTTATGAACAGAATTTTCTTCTATATGCATAAACCAGAGGGGATACCCGATACATTTTTTGAATGAATAAACAAGAAAGCCCTGTTCATTCACTTTTGCTCAGAATTAGCTGCTCTTTCTTTTATGTTCTCCACAACACTAGGATTATAACCCATCAGTCCAGTTTCATTTTCCATTTTATGGTAATTAATTTTTTATCTCTTTCTCTCTCCTAGTATTCTGTGACCTCTTTTATTTATCCACCATCCATTTCGTAGTGATTGATAGGAAACTGGCCTTCACTAGAAATCCTCAGAGAAGCAGGAGTGATTCACTCATTCCCCCAAATGGCTGCCCCCAGAGTCAGCCAATGAATAACTTTCTAAGGTTGAAAGCCCACAAAGGATGTGAGAATCAAAGTTCACCAAGCATACTTACAAATCTTGTGAGGTTTGACTCCTGTCTGGGGCGACTCTTCGCTGCTGGGCTTGAGGTTGCTGAGAAATGATTAAAGATGATTTATTGTCAGAAGGGGATACCTTGTGATGAAAGTCAAGGGGATGAGAGACAGTGCTGCAGTAATGAACAGATTTCTCAGCAATGTTTATGATCTCATTGCAAACCGCTTCCTGTGAGGTAGCCCCGAGATATCCAGAAACCCCCATAAAACAGTCAATGTGGGGACAAAAAAAAAAAAGAAAGAGAGGAAGAGATGTAACATTCCAGACGAAGTACATAAGTCCAGGGAAAAAACAGAGTTGAAGATCCAGGTTAAAAAAGAAATAGATATTCCAGTAGTGGAGTGCAGGAGGGATCCAGGTGTAAGCATGAAAAAACAGGTAAGATACAGAAGAATTTGGGATTTAGTATGAACATTAAAAAAAAGGACAGCAGCATAAAAGCCTGTAATTAGTGAGTAACTGTTACAAGTGGAATAATCTCAGGATAGAAATACAAGTATGTATCCCCAATCATGCACTAATACATTAATTTACTCCCACATGTAGGCAGAATGGAAAAATTATAATTCCTCTGCTTTTTTAGAGGGGGAGAAAGTAGCCTAACATCTGGCTCTACGACAATAGCCATGGAATCTTGAAATCACAGCTGTATGTGCTAACCAGGCATTACTCTGGTCTAGACTCTGGAATCAGTAAGGAGTCTCTTTAGGAAAGCTACAGTCTTATTCAACAGGCATCTTACCACATAGCTCTTTTCAGATTCTGTGAGATCAGGTCCTGCTCTCAATGAATGATGAGAAGGCTGTGATCACCAAGCAAATCATAAGGGAGACATTTTAGCAGATGTCACATTGGAAAAGATTCAAAATAAAAGCATGAGCAAGTACACGTACCACACCATTGCACTTAGATGACACCGGATACTCGAGGCCTATAGCCACTGAGTTTGCACAACAACGTGGTGGATGCACAGGAGAAAAAGCAAATGTACAGATTAGAAGCAAGCATCCAGGCAATGAAATGAGAAATCAGAAACATGGCTGCAGTGAGGTAAGAATGAACAATACAGGATCACCAGACCAGCAGGAGAGAGACACAAAAGGTCTTTAGGAACAGACTGCCCCCCTCTGTAATCACACATATTGATCCTCTTACTCATAGCTAACAAGCTTCTGAGAAGAGCTGCTGTACCAAAGTCAGTATGTTTTTGTTGACTGGGAGACGATGGCAGAACAGGCTCATAAAACTACTAGATCTGTCATGTTTGGGTACTTTAAAACAACCCTCAAAAGAATAATCCTTTTGAAATATTCCTGGATAATATTCTAGTCTCAAATAATACCACTCTCCTGGACAAATCTTCTTCCAGTGAGGTATGAAGCGAGTTCAGATAGCTAGCTCACAGAGCAGAGCTTGCTTCCAGAAACAGGAGAGTATGTCCTGACAGAGCTGTAGAGATGAACTGTCACTCACTAGCCCAGGTACCACATTAACATGGAAACAGATGCAATCAGGGCTCTGATGTTTAAGTGGGGCTCCCATGATGGAGCTGTTGGAGCTGACACGGCTGCTGACTATCACTAGTCGGGGTCCTATAGATCAGCACGTCTCAAGCTCTACCACAGGTACGTATCACCTGGAACCCTGCTGAAATGCAGAGTCTGACTTGGTTCATCTGGGGTGTGTCAGACTGTGCATTTCTAATTGGTGGTGGTGCTGCTGCTGGTTCTCAGCCTAACTTTGGGAAGCAATGTTGTACAGCAGTCCAATTATCCCACACCAAGATTCTCTGGATACAGTATGCCAAGACTGGTATGGGTCACACCTCATGAAAACAAGAGTTCTCATTAAAAAAAAAAAAAATTCCAAACTCCAGCTGGTGGCCTGATGACTTCAAAGAGAATATGTGGACAATCTCTTGACATGATCTCCACAGCTTACAAAGCCCCTAGCATCCTTCAATCAATTTAATTCCCAAACTGTAAAAACTGGAATCAATCATCTATCAAATAATTTGGTGCTCAAAAGAGGATAGACAAATCAAATACAGTAGAAGGAATTGATATTTTATAAGCACATATAGGTACATTATCTCATCTGACTTTTGTACTAACTCTTCGATGTGGGGAGGGCAAAAGAGGAATTGTTAAGGCTCAGAGAAGACCAAATTGAAGACTTGTACAAGGTGGCTAGACCACTGAGCCTAAGAGCTGAGCCCCCTGGTGTTTATACCCATATATCACCTCCCTCTTGGGTCAGAGTGGGACTGCTTGTGTAGCTATGATAACAACTCTCAATTTCTACCTCTTCTGAAAACAGACACGATAATTTTTCTTGAGTTTTTTTCGGTAGTGGGGTTTGAACTCAGGGTTTCATGTTTGTGCTCTACTACTTGAGCAACACCTTCACCCCTCTTGAATTTTCTTTTACTCTAGGTACTCAAAGACATTTTCTTCTGTCCGATTATTAACCCAAGGAACCACAAAGCTAGAGGGAGACTGGACTCCATTAGGATCTTTTTTGGTCTCAGGCCATACCTAAAGCAGGAGATAATCACCATCATAGCCCTCACATCTAGATAGTACAAACTTAACCCCATTCCTGAGAGGTAGGAATGACAGAGTTCTTTCCTTAGCATTTATTGGAAAAATGTTTGTTGTTTAAATAAAGGAAGAAGGCAAGATAAACATTAATGCTACTAGCTCAGATTCAATTTCTTCTTATTTAGATTTAAATGATACAACTTGTGTAGCTGGAATGTAACTATGGATTTTTGGGGAATGGGAGGCATGGCATGGGGTTGGACCCATGATGGAGAGGAAACCGTCAATATCCATTACAAGGATCAGCCTTTCAGTTTGAAAGCTATTTATCCTGATTTTTTTTTACCTTCCAGGCATATTTTTTTCATTTCCTGAGCCATTTTCTAACCACTTAACAGCTTCATACAGCTCTTCCTCTCAGCCTATGCTACCAACTATGGTAGCCAGTAGACACATGGCTGTTGAACACTTGAGATATGGCAAATATGAAGTGAAATGTGCAATAAGTGTAAAAATGTACACGGGACTGCAAAAACTTCTCTTTCTACTAGCAGTGCTGCTTTGAACCCTCTCCAGGGCCTTAGTATCTGCCCTTATGTAAGCCTAAGAGTAGACCACAGGTTCTCACCAGGACTCATCCAGGGCTAAGAATAAAAGGACTATTAGCTCATGCTAAGTACATTTCCGACTCTGGAGATGCATTTCAGTTCTTCATGTGTTTGGAAAAACAGCAACCAGTCCAACCTGCACGGGTATGTGTGTACACACAAACCCCCCATCAACAGCAAGCAGGTGACAGTTGCTGACCCAAAAACTGCTTTCTTGTGTATCACATGCAAGTTGCCCCTCCTGGCTGGGATGCTTGTTTTATTCTCCCCAAAGGAGTAACTCTGCATGTGTCCTTGCTCTGTTGTCCTTCTGTCTTCAGTTCACAGAAGTCTGGCAGAAATTTGATCTTAGTTTCCCTGGAGCTGTTAATCCCTGTGGATCCACAAAACACCTGGTGCTACTGCAAAGTTACTAAGCATCCTCTTCTAGCTTTGGGGGTATGCCAAAGCCTTGAAGCCCAAAATAAATTACACATAGGCTAAAACAGCAGGAAGGTCTGGAGATGTGGACAGGATAGATACACTCAGCCTTCTACATGGCCCCAGATCCCTCTAGAAATATCACAAGTCTCTAATGATTTCTTCCTTTCTTTCTTTTTAAATAAGCTGATGACTTTATTTATTTTTGTGGTACAAGAGTTTGAACTCAGGGCCTCTCACTTGTTAGGTAGGTGCTCTACCACTTTAGCTACTCTGCCAATCCTCTGCTGATTTCCTAATAGGCCCCGGTCTCCAAGATGACATTCCTCTAGCCATCTTACACCATGTGCCTTCTCAGACATCATCCCACCTACACTGGCCTCCAAATGGGTAGTAAGAAAATCTGAGTTCTAGGGCAGGCTCTGACACTAACTTGAACAAAATGTTTAAATTATTAGGACTTCTAAAATAAATAAGAGGGCCAGACATAATTTACATACATGTCTTTTTTGGATCTAACGTTTTATGACTGGACTGTGTCTATCCTATGAGTTAATAACTAGAATTGGGCAGCACTGATGAGACTTAAGCAAGGCAGCCCTTTAGTAGGCAATGGCATACTGAAGCCTGGGTGGAGAAGGGCTTCTGATCATAGCCTCTAAACATAGATGGAGAGCTCACTTCTGGAAGTATGAAGGCTGAGGGGTTTCCCTAGGATAGTAATAGAAGATTTGCAGCTCCTTAAACAGCATGGGCAAACTCTGCCAAAGGAGTGGGGAGGCCTGAATGATTTGGATTCCTAGGCTTCAGTACCAGAAAACCTTAAGAGAACACTCAAAACAGCCTCTGAATCCACGAAGTTCTCCTTGAGTCCACTAAGAAAAAGACCACAGCTTCAATATAAAATTAGTTACCAATAATTACTTCAGCTGCTTATCACCTCTACTTAATCTCCTTGCAGATCACTGAAGAGATAACATATTAGCTCTGCTGCAATTTGAATCTGATCATACCTAATTGAAACACACAGCCAACACTCAAGTCTTTCCATTGTAGGATGTCATCTTCTGTTTCTGCCATACAGCGCTCAGGGGAGTGGTGGCAGATGTATGTTCAAGTATGAAGAACTCAAAAGCTTTCCAAGAGTAGCTATGGGTCTTTGTCCTCAAGGTGGGAGGGAACATGGACAAGAATTTGTGGAGTACAAATTCCACATTTACTAAACGCTTATTTTATGAAACTTAAAGCAAAATGAATTCCCCATCTTCTTTCTCCCCACCCCTCTACCTCATCTTCATGTCTCAGGTGGGGCTGGATAAGGAGAATAAAATAAACAACTTCTGTTTCTTTTCCTTGCTTCCTCAATATCACACTGTAGGTGTGATAGTCTCAACGTTGAGCTAGTCTCAATGACGTGATCTGTAGTAGGTGATTTATCTTCATTCTATTTCATTTAATTCTTATATTGAAGGTAGTCAATATCACCACATTTTACAAATGAGAAACAATGGCTTAGTATGTCTCAGTTGGAAATTTGAAGAATTTTGAAGAACACCCATTTTCTGATTCCAAGTTTATGAATTCATTTGCACTACACACTGATTTTTCAGATGCTCTGCCAGAGGGAGATTTTAGACAGCTAGAGTGAAATGCAGATGGAGAGGTCACTTAACTTGTCTAGGTAATTCTGCAGCTGGCACTTGGATTTCTACTCTTAGGCACCATTTCTCCTAACACCAAGATGACTCTCAAGTGGTAGAGTGCTTGCCTGGCAAGTGTGAGGCCCTGAGTTCAATTCCTAGTACCACCAAAAAATAAAAAATAATAAGTCTTCTCCTATCAGCATTTTAGGGGTGGACACTGCAGGTTTGGGTCTTGGTTCCTCACCTTTAAGTAGTGAGAGAATACTTTTTTTGTTAGCATATAATAGTTGTGCAGGGAGATACAATGTGATATTTACATATGTGTTACAATACACCTTATGTTCACCCCTCCATTGTTCTCCCTCATCCCTCCTCCCCCCTCCTTAGAACAATTTCAACAGATGTCTTTCTTCTATATGATTACAAAATACTTCCACCATATTCACCCTCATTCACCTTTTCCTTATGCCCATTCTTACCCCACTGGTACCCACTCCTAGAAAAGACCTATTTTTCCCTCCTCTCCCTCATTTTTTTTAAAGTATCTATTGATAGTCCAAGAGAGTTTCATCTTGGTGCTTCAGGCCT